TCTTCGATCTGCAACAAGTATTGAGCCAAAAATTAGAAATGGGTAACAATACATGAATCTTCAAAAAATTCAAAACAAATACTAAAAAGGATCACTTCTACTTGTCTGTTAGGTGAAAGAGAATGAGAAAGTTGACTGAGCAGTAGGAAGAAAAATGAAAATTAAGATCCATATATGTGTACATATATGCATTATATATATGTATACACTAGCTATAGTAAACACTAAAAAGGCTTGACGGAGAAGTATATCACATTTCAAATTAGATCAGGCACACCTACGAACACACCATATCAACATGATACATATTATCTTTTAAGTTTAGGGTTGACAGGCTGGGGAAATTAATATGCCCTCAATTCTTGTAGTACCAATCAATTCATGAGAACAATATCAAGACAAAGCCAATCTATACTATCAACAAAGTCAGGTTTTATATAGAGTTAAGGCAAGCTTGCCCCAACTGCAAGGTGCATTTCATTTCATTCACCTCACTCATTTTTAAGTAATAGATCAATTCTAGTTACCTTCTAACATGGTCAAAATTTACATTCTATTGGTGTATATACCGCAAAATGTAATAAATTATAGCTGCAAATAAAATGAATAAAAAATATATTCAGATTGCGGGGTAGATATCACGCCCTCTTTAAGGATATTCAAGCCAGTTGTGCTATAATCTACCCCGATCCAACAATATAACTCTTGATTTCTTCCCTCAAATATACAACATCCCAGCAATATTGTATAATTCAAACAACTCCATATTAGTAGAAGAGTCCAAAGCTCCATCATTAGAACACTTTTCTTCAATATAAATGTACTCTCATTTCTATAGTAAATTAGTTGAAGACTTAGAATAATTTTTTTATCTCAACTCTCTCTTTCACTCCACTAACCTCACTACACACTACAATATTTTCTCATACTTCTCATCTTTTTCATTATATATATATCCTTGTACTCAAAACAAAGTAAGATCACCATTGTTTATAGGTAGGGAATTCCTCCTTGCAATGAATAGGAGGAATTTGGGTAATAATATAGGTAAATGAATAGAGGAATTATGTCTAGGAGGTTACATGAGTTACAAAGCATAATGAGGTAGAATAATGGCCAAATAACAAGTTAGAGGTTATAGGAGTTACATAAGAACTTATTGTCATATTCCACCACTAACTCATATATTAATATTATTATTACAATACTAAAATGTATTTTGCTCCAACACATGCCAATAAGAATGAGAAAGCAACATCACGTTATATTATGTAAGTACATTTATCATTAGAAAAAGCAAAGAAATATCAACCTATAACGTGAGCCCAAACACCATGGCAGTAGCAACTCACCTAAAGTTGGGAACCTAAAGTAAAATACTTGGCAGGCACTAAGAGTTTATCAATACATGTGAAGTGAGGTAAAGAATTTGATCCCATCTTTTTTCACTCAACCTTATGTATCTAGTTTGCTTGTTCAAGATTATATTATCTGCAATTTGCACTGTGTCCTCTTTAACCATGTAAAAATTTGTCATTTTACATGGCATAATCGGCTGTACAAAGGTCAGTTGATTTAGGCATAATATCAAACAACCTCAAGGCATGAATGAGCAAAGCTGATTACTAACATCCATGTGATTCCAACAAGAAACTATTCAAAAAAAAACCTAAAAATTACCACCTACCCATAAAATCTGATTAACAATAATAACTACTCCAATATAAAAAAGAGCAAAAATTCAGAAAAACTCAGAAAAACTCACCAGAAATTATGAAAATAAAGCACGCATCAGAGACACTTGGAACTCAAATTGAGAAGTTCAAAAAAAAAATTAAAAAAAATGAAATACAACAACTACAGATGCATGAGTCTGCCAAATTTACCAATACACCAAACAAGATGAGAAAAAATAAACTGAAAAGTGAACTCACCAGAAAGTGCAATCAATGCAAGCAGCAACTGTGAAGCAGCCAAATTAACGCAGAATCAGAACAAGCCAACTGCAGGAAAGAAACAGTATAAGCCGAGAAGTGTGACAGAGAGTAAGCAATTTGGTTCGTTTATAGAGCGCAAAGTCAACAGTAGCGATGAAGACGCAATTTAACAATTCACCATTAAAGGAGCAAAGCTTAGTAAAGGAAAAATACAGTGTAACTTGCTCGGCAAGATTTGGATTTGTTCAGGCAGGCACCGAATCAAAATGAAAATGGAAAAACAAGGAACGAGGGAAGCATGAGCTTTTTTTTTCTTTTTCTTTTTCTTTCAATAGAAAAACTAAAAATTCATTGTAAAGAAAAACTTGTCTTTTAATTTCAAAAAAGTGGTGGGATAAACATCCTTTTGGATTATTTTTTTCGCAAAATAAAATTTAATAAATGCCTTTATAGATAATTTTAAATTTTAAATTTTAGATATATGTAATATTTCTCAAAAATATATAAGTAATAAACATATAACTAATATTGCAAAAAAACTTGACATATATTTTTTGAGCTAATAATATTTAATTTAATTTATTATAAAGACTAAAGGTACACCTTTTGTAAAACTATTGTGGACTGCACCTATAAAAAAAAGTATCAATTCTAACTAAAAGGATTGAATGGTATGTGATATGAAATAACAAGTTATAATAGTACTAAAGCAAACAAATTAGGACAAAATTATGACATAGATTCAAAAATAAAAAATAATGCGTATATTCTATCAAATTTCAATATAACATAAATAAGTTTCAAAATAACTTGGTTAATAAACATATAACTAATATTGCCAAAAAATAATTATATATATATATATATATATATATATATATATATATATATATATATATATATATATATATATATATTTGAGCTAATAATGTTTTAATTTAATTGATTTAAAAACTAAAGATACATTTTTTGTAAAAAATATTGTAGATTGTTTGTGTTCTGGGTGTTTGGTTACCTCTTCTAGGTTTTTTTAAGCTATTGCATAGGAGAGGATTTTTATTCTATACGCACTCAAAGAGTAGCGACTGCAAATTTTCTTCGTCATAAAAATAAATATAAATATTGTAGATTGCACGTATAAAAAAATTCAAGTCTAATAAAAAACATTGAATGGTGTACAATATAACATAACAAGTTAATAGTAATAGAGCAAACAAATTAGGAAAACATTACATAATTCAGAAATAAAATAAAAATAATATTTTTTATATTCTTATATCAAATTTCAAACATAAATTAAGTAAGCATAATTTAAAGAAAAAGAACATGTCTATTAGTTCATTCAATTACAAAATTTTACTTCAACTCAAAAAATAGAATAAGATAATGCAATTATAAGCTATCAAGATGTACTCAATTTTATTGTCAATCACTGTCATACAGAGGTTGAATTTTTGTTGTTAAGTTAACGTTGATCATTATTTTAAGATAAATCTATTTATTAACAGTAATAATGAGGAACTATTTGATCACATTAGGTTTTTATAAAATGATAAAATTTCTTGTATGCTCTCTTGAGTCTCCAGTTTAGTCCTACATATAGATGTTAGTGTTTGCAATAAATTTAAAGCACATGCAAAATAAATAAATTATACAAATAAAATATGAAGAAACATAATTTTATTAATCAAGATAGATTGCGACTACAATTTTGTTGATCCCTTAATTCTACTCTCTTAAGATTTATTCATGATTCGAGGGTCGTTAGTGGCGTATTTCTCGAACTAGAATGATTTAGATTTGACCTCTCTATATGAATAATTCATCAATTTGTGGAGTATTCGAGATCTTGATCTCTTTATGGAATTTTCGAGATGCTTTTTAAGAGAATTTAGTACCCTTTGTTTAGGCATTAATTAGGATTTAGGGTTGAATAGTGAATCCTAATTTGAGTTTATCACAGTTTGTAGAGTCCCAATTCAAATTGAACACGTCTTGTAGAGTCCCACAAAATTTCAATGTCTACAAATGCCCCCTGCTTCAAGGTTTGTTGAAGTGTATACTTGATAAAACTCAAAGACGAGGCTTGAAGTTCTCATTCCTCCACCTTTGCAGCTTCAGATTTTCAGATTTGATTTAAGAGATAAGAGATGAAGGGCAGATTTGGTCCCACTGGGTGTACCAATTTTGTTTGCAACAAATTTTAAAGTGATAAAAAATAAATTGCAATCACAAATAAAAATATGAAGAAATATGATTTTACTGATCGAGATAGATTGCGGGTTCAGTTCTGTTGATCCTAGATTGCGGGTTCAGTTCTGTTGATCCCTTGATTCTACTCTTCTAGTATTTATCCATGATTCGAGGGCCGTTAGTGGCGTATTTCTCGAACTTGGATGATTTAGATTTGACCTCTCTATATGAATAATCCATCAATTTGCAGAGTATTTGAGATCTTGATCTCTTTATGGAATTTCCGAGATGTCTTTTAAGACAATTTAGTACCCTTTATATAGGCATAAACTAGTGTTTAGGGTTGAGTAGCCTCCAAGAATCCTTATTTGAGTTGAACACAATTTGTAGTGTCTCACTCGAATCCAACGCATCTAGTAGAGTCTCACAAAATTTCAATGTCTATAGTTAGTTCAGAGATTTGCATTTTTTTGGGGGGGGGGGGGATTGTTTGAACTAACAAACTATTAATTCAAATTAAATATTATAGCTATTCTTTTTTTTTGCCATTCAATTCGGTACACAATCAGCCATTTCGGTACAAAATGTATAAAAAGTGTTTGTGTTTGTATAAAGCGAGAGAAAAGTATATATACAAATACAAATACATATATTTTCGTCCTACATAATTATAATTATAATTATACAAATACAAATCTTATTATACAAATTACACCGTATAAATAAATCTACACAAAATTGAATATTTGTAGCGAATCATACAAATCAAAAGCTCCATAGCAAACATTAAATTTGTTATGGAGCGCAACTATACAAACTATAGCTATAACATACAAATATAATTTTTGTATTTGTTATAGCAGAAAGTTGTTGTTTTCAAATGAGTGCATTTAGTAAGAGGTCATTTATGCAGCTTGAGAAATTCTTATTTTGTACATCTATACTCAGAGCATTGACCTATTACATAAGCTATTAAAACACATCACCAATTTTGATTTTCTTTATCGATCTCATTTTTATCCAATTGGCAAACATATTACCCTTTGATCATTTGAGAGATATGGGGTGTGTGTGAGAGTGTTAATCCGTTTCCAAATGCCCTATTCTTTGCTGCAATACAAAAAAATGAACTTTTCTGGGTAGAAATATTCACAAGCTAATGTTTCACTCATTACATAAAAATGTACAACAATGTGTTGATCAGATGGAAAAAAGACATACCAAGGAAAGCTAACCTCAAGACTTAAGACAACTTCGTTCGAATACAAATCACTGACTCCAAGGATCAACCAGTGTGCCTCCATGCTGCTTGACTATTCGAACGGATTGCAGAAGAATATCCTGATGTGCTGAAAACAATTTGTCCTTGCTCTAAAAATATAGAAAAGATTGTGATTAGCTGAAAGAAGAGAAACCCATAAACAAGATCATTGAACAATTGACAGAAGAGTAACATTGGAAGAAAAAATTGATCACCGATACAATTGCACATCGAAATTGTGAGATACACAGCGAACACACAGACTCAACACTAAGATCACATCAACATTTGTTACAAATATCTTGTTGTGTATTAATTACAGAAACCATAAGGCAGACCTCAGGATAAAAGGACTGGCTTTTTTTGTTGTGATCAACTTTTGAGGTGCCAATTATAAGGTCCAAACTTGAAAAAATAACGAAATGCAGAGTCCGTGTAACTTAGTTAGGTTCTTCTAGATGATTAAATCTACTGTAAACATTTTTTTATAAGAAGTTCTAGAAATGTTTCTAAAACATATTACCTCCAGTTATTCTCATCTTCTTTTTTACGTAACAATATTATATATCTTCAGCACAAAGGCTATGCTGGAAGCTATCTGCAAGTTTAAAAAAAGAAAATAAATATACATCATTGTTCTTCTTTCAAGGATCCAATGATGTCTAAAGGGACACATCTTGTAAAAATTGTTCTGTACACCAAAAATGAAAGTAAAAGATCAAATTTCTGGATAGAACTACTTCTTTTAAAACATCTCAAGTTCCTTCCCTTCCTTATCGTACACCAGATTTTTTTTCACCATTTCTTTTGCCTCACAGTCCCTCCCATCCCATGTTGTTCCAGCATTTTTAAAGCATTTTCCAGTAGCTTTTAGCATAACCCATTCAATATCTTTCATGCATATACACAAATCCAAAACTTTCTGAATCCTTCCATAAAGATAACATCTTGAGCACAACTACGTCTACATTCCCTCATCCTCAGGTAATCACATGTCAGGCATACCTCCTTAACAACTATCCATGTAAAGGAAGCCACCTTGTATGGTATATATACTTTACAAATATGTTTTCAAGGCCAAACTTTTATGTGTTGTCCGGTGCCATTTAAAGCAACGTAGGTTAAATTAATTGTGTAAATTTCTCGTGTGCTGCTTCAAAACAATCTATCTTCATTTCTTGTGGTTCCTTGAGGTTGCTCCTAAACCTAGAAAAGTTTATTTGTCTTATTGACCTCCCAATTCACTTAAGAATCTTCTAAGATTGACATTCCCCCCTGTGGTTCCGAAACTTCTTGAATTGTTGCATTAGGTATCTAAGTCAGACTGAATATGTCAGTGAAGATTTCTTTTAAAGGTTGGGAACCAATCTAGATATCCTTCGAGAAGGATGTTTTCTCCCCATTTCCAACTTTGTAGCTGAAATTATTTGCAAGCAAGGGCCACAGTCTCCTGATGGATTTCCAGACACTAACTCAAAAAGGAGATGTAACCATTTTAGAACACCATTGTCCCTCATTCCTATATTTAACATAAATCATCTATCGCCACAAAGCTTGCTCCTCCAAAAACTGTGTCTCCACAGAAAATTCATAAGTAAACTTATATTATGCTGCCTCAAGTTTCTTATGCGTAATCTCCCTTCCCTCTGACAGGTAGTAACAATTCCATTTTGCTAGAAGTAATTTCTCCTTCCCTTACCAGATAATTTATTCTCAATGCATCCAATCTCGTTTCCACTTTTTCTTTTTGATGACTTAATCTCTTTTCCACTTTAACAAGGAAAAAGGAAGCAACATGTAAGTGGGCAAAGAATAAATACCTCCAATTGTTCATTTAAACTTGTCAATAATTGTCTCTATTTCTGCCTACATTTTTTTAACTTGTTTATCCATTAAAGTTTCTTTTATTTTGTTATTTTAATTATTTTTTTCCTGAGAAGGAGGCCTTGGGTGGGTTCTATATAGGTTTTGGCAGAAACCATCATAACTGAACTTGCACCAATCAAAATTTTAAGAACGCTTGCTATCAGCATCATACACATGATAAATTGATTTATAGTGTGCTGGTTGTTAAAGTAGACATAAAGCTCAAGCAATATATATCAAATGAATTTCACAATGATAGTAGAAACGACTGAAAAGGAGAAGCATACCGCATATCTTAAGTTGCACCCAAGAGTTAGCTCTGCATATGTTTTTTCAATTTTAGACAAGTAGCAGTATGGTGCCTCCTTTTCCAAGAAAACATTTGGATTAGATTTGAGCATGCTCTTCACATCATCTGATATCTTGATAATCATATTAAAGTCTTCAATTTGGAAAGGAACTGTAGTGACCATGGCACGCCATTGAGCACGTGATTTATTCACAATCACCTGAAGTTTGTGCAACCAATCAATCAAATTCTCCTCCTCTTTTATATTGTTTCTTTTTGTTTTACTTTTATTTTTCAGGGTCTGGCGGGGAACAGAGAATCATTAAAAAAGTAAGAAATATCGGAGCATAAAATCCCTCTTTCAAAGTCATAATTTTAGACAAGTAGCAGTATGGTGCCTTTTTTTTCTTCTGTTGCTTACAGAATGTGCTCACATAGAAAAGTTATGGGATGATTTAAAGTTTTTAACCAAGCAATGCAGATACAAAGCAGGTAATAACATTCAAATTAAATTTTGGAAGGACAAAATCGACAGGGAACACTACTCTCCAAAGTGAATCCCTTCTCTCATCTCAATAGCCTCTGACCATACTTTACTATCTCCCAGAACAGGGAAAATAATGCATGGGCACCATTGTTAAGAAGGAATTTCCAATTTTGGGAACTAAACAGTTTGCTAAAACTACTATCCAAATTGGAGGGCCGCTCTTCAGATGATCACAGCCAAGACGGAATCAAATGGTATAGAAAGACAGATGGACAATACCAGTTTTTAGCAGCGGACTCTTAACCAATCATCTCACTTTCTTAAAATAAGCATTTTTTGCCTCCTAAAAGCTTGGCTAAACAAGATATACCTATTAGCAGGTTTTGGAAGAGCTTCTAAAATCAACTTATTTTGAAATGTACTTGTCAAAAAAAAATACTTTTGGCGAGAAACAATATGTATTTGGCCAATAAATTTAAATAGCACTTTTGAGTAGCAATAAGTGTTTGGCTAAGCTTTTAAAAAGTGCTACTAAGTGTATTTTCTCAAAATTGCTTACAGGGGAAGCTACTTTTTTTAGCTTATGATAAACAATTTCTGCTACTCCCTAAAAGCACTTAATTTCTCCTAATGGTTTGGTAAAACACCACACCTTTTTAAAACAAATAAGCACTTTCAGCCTCCTAACCACTTATAGACTATATTCTTAGTAGCTTGTTATAACTTCACTTTAGTAAAACTAGAGAAAACACCGTTTAAGGGAACTAAGATATAATCGTAAACTGATATCTGGACAGTTCTACCCCTTATTGAATGAAGAAGGCACATCTTTAAGTCATCTAAAGCTTCTATATGCAGTAGGCTAGTAGCTAGTACTTAGGTGTAGCAACTCACGACCATGAAAGTTAATACTGGGTAGAGATTTCAGGTAAAAATATTTCCAAAAGTGATAACTTCCCCAAACAATGACGAAGATTAGATGGAACAAAACAGCTCCTTAGCTTTATAAGTTTATTGTGTTTACTTAGCTGACAGTTTTATACACAATTAAGGAGTTAGAGTTAGATTTTGCCTTCCAGAAAGTAGTTAATTCTATTAGAAAGATTAGTGAATCAATAGTTGTACATTTCAGTCATTTAATTACTATATAGCTTGTAATCAGCTCATTATACAATCATACATGGAAATATAGAATTTTTCTCTCTTCCTAAACTCTCTTCTTCTCTCTTAATTGTTCTTCTTCAACTGTCTCCTCGAGGTTACTACTTACTCCTGAAACAGTAACTCAATTCTCGAATTCATTGAGAATTCCTGCAATCGAGTAACATTAGTATCAGAGTCAGTCTATCCTTAGATTTTACTGGCGAAAGGAACAAGGTCTACCGATAATTTCCAATAGAAATGGGGGAATTGAAGGAAATGATACAAAATTTGGCAGAGAAAATGGAGACTTTGGCATGGGAAGTTACAAATGTGAAGAGATTGGATCAAGTGATCATGGAATTATAGGAACATTTGGTCAACTATCGAGAATCTAGGAGGGAATAACTTCCTATGGAACAGGATGGTCCTTAGAATGCAAGGAATTCTGAAGAGCGAATTCACAATTCTAAAGGGAGAATTCACAGACCCATGAATCCTACCAGTTACAACACCCATCATTCAAACTTCTCAAGATGGTCCAAAAAGGAATTCCTTAGGTTTACAGGAAAAGACTTAAGATCGTGGTTGTTCAAGATTGAACAATTCTTTTCCATGGAGAACGTAGTTGCAAATGAAAAGGTAACAATAGATGCAATGCAAAGCAATGCAACTGGAAGGAGAAGTCATCCAATGGCATCTGTCTTTCATGAGATACAAATAGTACTTACAGCCAGCTACTTGGAATGAGCATGTGATGGCTATGGTTGAGAGATTTGGGTATAGATTTTGATGATCCCATGGAGGAAATCAAGAAAGAAAAAATAAATGGGGAGTGTTAAGGAATATCAGTCGGTGTTTAATGTGACTAGGGTGATTTGTCACAAGGGAATGCAATCAGTTGCTTTATTGGAGGGTTCAAACATGAGTTGAACATTGTTGTGAAGATCACTAGCCCCACCTCATTATCACAGGTCTAAAGAACTGCAAGAATGCACGAGGCTTATTTAGTTGTTGTTAGATAACCAGCGCACAAACAACACCACATGAATTCAAGCCAGATGAATTCAAGGAGGTTTATGGATCAGAAATCTACCCATGCTAAGTCTATCTTACCTACACCTGGGGCTAATTTTTCTAGAGGAGTGACTAGAAAGACACTGAGCCCGGAGGAAATCAATGAAAATTGAAAAGAGGTCAAAGGGCCTTTGTTACTTCTGTTGTGAGAAGTACATGTCTGGACAGAAGTGTAAAAATTCCAAACATTTATACCTGTTAGAGTTAGAAGAAACTGATGAACTACATGATCCAGTGGAGGAATAAGAAGTGTAGATACTGAAAGAAGTGCTTAACCATCTAGAACTAACTCAACCAATAGAGCACATGGAGATATCTATGCATGCCTTGAATGGCTCTTTCGGGTATACAACATTGAAAGTTACAAAGTACCATTCAAAAAAGGGATTGCATATACTCATAGGACTGATCAGAAGGCCTTGAAGTTTCTAATGGAGCAGAAGTTACACACAAACTCACAACTCTCATGGTTAACTAAGTTGGCGCCCTTTGATTACACTATTGAGTACAAAAGAGGGATTGAGAACAAAGTGGCAGATGCACTTTCAAGAGTCACCTGGGCTCACATCAAGATCCCAAATAACTCATAGAAGAATTACAGGCAAACCCTGATACTCATAGGTAGTTCACTTAGATGCAAGGTCAAGTGAGCAGAAAGAGAAAACTTGTCATTGGAAAAGTGCGGAGTTTAAAGACTGACATTTTGAATTTATGGCATGCTAGTCCACATGGGGGTCATTTAGGTGTTGAAGCTACTCTCCAAAGACTATTGACATTGTTCTATTGGAAGAATATGAGAGAGAGGAGGTGAAGGATTTTATACAGAAGTGTGATGTGTTCCAGCGAAACAAACCTACTACAACCGTTGCCTATTCCTAATGTAGTTTGGTCTCAAATAAGCATGGATTTAGTTGATGGTCGGCTGAGTCACATGGTTAATAATTAATCTTGGTGGTAGTGGATAGACTCAACAAATATGGTCCTTTTCTTCCACTCAAACACCCTTATACAGCTCAATTTGTTGAAAAGCTGTTTCTGGACACATTTATTAGGCTACATGGGTTTCCTAATGCTATTACTAGTGATATAAATGTTGTTTTCTTAAGTTCCTTTAGGCCAGAACTTTTCACATAGCAAGGGGTTCCCTTGCATACTTCTTCAGCATATCACCCTTAGACTGATGGACAAACTGAGGTACTCAACAGATGCCTAGAGACCTACTTGAGGTGTTATTGCAATGATAATGCTTCCAACTGGTTTTCTTTCTTAGCGATGGCTGAGTATTAGTATAAAACTTGTCATCATTCAGCAATCCAGACAACTCCTTATGAAGCTCTATATGGTATACCTCCCCCATTGCACCTCCCTTGTCTACCAGGTGAACCAGGTTCTTCTGAAGTTGATGGTACATTGGTGAATAGAGAGCTTAAACTTCAACTCCAGAAGCATCACTTGAGGAGAGCTTAGCTAAGAAAGAAACAACAGGCCAACTCTCATAGAAGTGATAAACATTTTGATGTAGGGGATTGGGTGTACTACAAATTTTAGCACCTTACAAGCAAGCCATAATTTCTAACCCTTCTTCCCACAAGTTGGTAATGCTAAGTATTATGGCCCATTTCAGATCATTAGGAGAGTTGGTCCGGTAGCTTACACTTCTCTTGTTGCCAACTTCTGTCAAAACACATCCTACTGTTAATGTGTCGTCATTAAAAAGATGCTATGAAGTGCCTTCTCAGATATTTCATCCTACTACTATTGATTTGTTCAATCCTTTCCTGACCCTGAGATGGTGTTTGCAACTGTTTTGAAGACAAGATTCCCTTGTTTGATCCTTGAGAACGAGGATCTTTTATTAGAAGGGAGTACTGATACACAAAGAAGGAGTTAGAGTTTGATTTTTCCTTCCAAAATGTAGTTAATTCTATTAGACAACTACAGTGAAAGTAGTTAGGCAGAGATAACTGAAATCTGTCAGATTAGTGAATCAATAGTTGTACATTTTAGTCATTCAATTACTAGAGAGCTTGTAATCAACTCACTGTACAATCATATATGAAAATACAGAATTGCTCTCTAAATTCTTCTTCTTATTCAATTGTCTTCTCGAGGTTAATCGAGAAACAGCAATTCGATCCTTGAATTCATTGAGAATTCAAGCAATCGAGTAACACAATTCCCCTCCTGTTGTAACTTTGCATCTATAGGATGCCTTAATAATATCTCAGTTGTTTCATCAAAAAAGGAATAGTTAAGAAAACTCACCTGACTGGAAAATAGTGAATTTGGGACAATAACAGGGAATTTTTCTGCAGTCAACAATGATGTATTAGTAAGCCCTATTTCAACCACTTGACCTTCCACTGATCCAGCCTGCAAAAGTAGTTTTTGTTAAACAACTCATAGAATAAATTAAATGTCATGTTGTAAAAAAAACGAGTTCTGTAGATTAGGAACACAATTATAATTTGTTGTTGATACAAATATTCTTGTTATTCTCAATTAGGTACCGTTTTATTGTTAAACCAGATTTCAGGTCATAATTGTGAGAAATGTAGGAGAATAATATTATTGAATTGTTGTTGTTTACATTATTACACAAAGACCCTATTTATAGACATTATAATACAATCCTTTACCAAATAGGATACTATTTACTATTCCTATTCCTATGACTATTCCTATTCTTATTTCTATTCTAAGTAGGATTGTATATACCTATCCCTATTCTAACACTCCCCTCAAGCTATCATTATATACCTAACCTGTTACAAATGTAATTTAATACGGGGCTGATTAGGGCTTGGTGAGATATAAATTGATCACTTGACTTCACAAAATTGATAGTCAATCTCAATATGCTTAGTCTTCACATGAAATACTGGATTTGATGCATAATACCGATAAAACACAAAGTGATAAATTACAGTGAACTTCATAAACCAAGCTTGCATAAACTATTTCAAACCATAGAGTGACTGACTTACACAATCGACATACGAGACTACTAAGCTCCCCCTGAGCAACAAAATTAGGTGGTTGCTCCATCACAATGCAACGGTCGCTTGAAAGTTCTCAAAAATCTATTATAAGATATATAAATCATGTTGGAATCAATGGACGTGTCAATATTAAACAAGAAAGTCACCGAAAAAATTGGCCAAAAAATGCTCATATGCCAGAGTATTAGATTTGATGCTAAAGGTGGTCACAATGCAATCTAAGAAATAAAATTATATGGGTAGGGTCGAAATGATGGCACGACCCAATTGGAAGATAAGAATTATATAAGAAAGGTCGGATTGATGACATGATCCTATTGAAAAAGAGAAATAATATTTGTAGGGTCGGAATGATGGCACAACCCAACTGAAAAAGAGATTATATGGGTAAGGTCGGAATGATGGCACAAACCTTCACAAATAAGATTTGAGGAGTCACCGAAAAGACGAATGGGACTATGCAAATCAAATTTGGGGAGTCACCGAAAAGAGACACGGTGCTATGCAACTCAGATAGGATAAAGTAGTTTGGTAAAATCTACAATACTATGCAAATAAGATATGAGAAGTAGCCCTGAGATGCAAGGTAGTCCCCAGAAGTATAGCACGGTGCTACACAAATTAAATATGAAAAATTAGTCACCAGAAAGATGGCACGGTGTTAAACAAATACCGACGGATATGGGGTTGACACAAAACATCCCTAGAAAGTCATCAGATATTGACGCACCATGACCTGTCTGACTGAGTTTTCTTCCCCTGAATATGGGTTCATGCATATATCATTGATGTCACTTTTGTTAACATAATTTTTGGCCAGACGAGCGGCATATATAGGTAATAGCCATCCACCGGCAGTGGAAGCTCTTTGATTATTTACCAAGATCATAAAGGCTTTGATACCAAGTGAGAAATATAGGAGAATAATATTATTTTATTGTTGTCTACATTATTACACAAAGACCCTATTTATAGACATTACAATAGAGTCCTTAACCGAATAGGATACTATTTACTTTTTCTATTTGTAAGACTATTCTTAATCTTATTCGTATTCTTACTTCTATCCTAAGTAGGATTGTATATATCTATTCCTCGAGTTGTACCCCTCCAAGACTAGCTCTTCTCCATTAGGGAAACGAAATCTCACAACCCTATTACGACAATTTATGCAAGCATAACAACTATGAAGCCAGTCCATGCCAAGAATAACATCAAAATCATGCATTGGTAACTCAACCAAGTCTGTACACATAGTCTTACCACATACAATTATTGGGCAATCTTTGTATACTCTATCAGATCTTACATTTTCTCCTAAATGTGTACTAACCACTATAGGTTCATGTAGAACTTCTAGAAATATCTCAAAAGTGAGAGCAAGCAAAGGAGTTACAAAGGAAAGCGTAACTCTTGGATTAAGTAAATCATAATATTCAAGATCATATTCATTCATACATATACATTAATGACGAAGGTACTTAAGCCTACTAATTCAAGGATTCATATTCACATTCTTCATGTATCATGTAATGGAGATAGGTCTACCTAAAAAAGACACTTCATTATCATCTTTTCACATGAACATTATCATTCATGCAGCACACAGGGTCAACTAAGTATACTTGCAAGCCACCCTACTCAGTTCTACAGAATCATCAACATAACTCATCATACTGTTCATATAGTCAACTAAGAAGATTCGCACTTCAACATTAAGTATACACATAGGAAGTGAGTGAAAGATGTGACTCGGTGAAATTATTAATGTGAATGAAAGAGAAAAGAAAAGTAAAAGAAAAGAAAGAATGCAGAAAAGAAAGAAAAGAGTTTCAAAAAATTGAAAAAAAAATATGAGTCATATCCAAAAAGAAGGGAGCAGTGAAAAGATGAAAAGCAAAGTAATGAAAAGAGTTAGGAAGCTTACCGAAGATGAGAAGGAGGGCAAAAAGTCGCTAAAAATATACCCAAATGTACCAGACCTGACCCAAACCCTACATTACAAGCCAAGAAAGTCCTACAATGATCGTACAGTCTAGTGTGGTGAACCTAAGTAGTGTTCATCGACGACACCCTCATTGACGGGACGTTTGTCAACAAACGGAGCATCATTTGGTTCAGTCGATTGACACTGCCAAGGCAGTGTCTCAACAGCCCTTGGGCCCTTCGTGTGGGCCCTTTTACGGGGCCCTTGAGAAGTCATACCCAGACGTTTCCAATGTAAATATGCACATTGAAAATTAAAGGACCTTCCATGCAAGTTTCACCAAAAATGTACACATAAAACACGTCCAAACATGCTAGGCCTCATCAAGACATACTTAAACGTCTCAAGGGCTAACTTTCGAGCGTCTTAGACGTTCTTGGATGTTTGAACTCAAAACTTTATAAAACTTCTAATGCTTATAAAAATTATTATAACTCATTTTAAGACTTCACAAGCTCATGATATACAAATATAACCACATATAGACACATGAGACACATAGGTGACTAGTCGTCGAACGTCTTGGTCGTCCCTTGACGTTTCACTTCCAAATAACCTCAAACTTTACACACTGTCTCAAAACCATATTATAAGCCATTTTAGGATCGTAGACCCTTATGACTAACATGTTAGGCTCTAGACGCCCTTACTCATTTTGGGGGTCTTACAATATCCCCCACTTGGGAACATTTATCCTCGAATGACACTTATAACACTTTTATTACAACTAGGACTTCAATGCATCATAGAGCAGTTCATCACATTAATAACATCTTCATATAGAAGTTAATGCACCAATATTACAAGGAACACACTTCAAATCATTTAGCACTCAATGCATTCAAGCAAGCAAAACTTTCATTCGCTCACTCTTTAATGCATCAAATACAAAGACTCTTTTCATATTTATAGGAGGAACATACTTCTCCTAGTTAACACATGGTCATTACATTTGAATTAATTAAAGAGCTCATCATGTAAGGTCACACATAGGCAGATTTCAAGAGTACTCAAAAAGTCATTTAAGCACTTATACTTCAATGCACATAGACTTGAGTTAATTAGATTGACAATGGATTTTTTTTAGTTAGACCTAGTGATATGATGGTCATACTCAAAAATACCATGCTTAGTTGTGTACATGGAGGAATGTCCTTCTCCTTAACACACTTACATGTCTCATGAGTTCATACCAAAGCAAATCCACAAAAGTCATATTTATTGTAACATGAGAAATTTCTCACTTTTAAACCAAGGCATGCTCATGTTTTCTTCCTTGTGAAGTTTGAATGGTAGGTCACACCAAGCACATCACCACAAATAGGAAGCCTTTTCACAAAATGTCAATTTCTAACATAGCAATAGCCTTTACAGTAAGAATTATTCATGGAAAGTCTCACAATTCAAAGGCACAAATAAGGACAATAGACATGCCTTCACTTTTCAAAAGTGGACCTATAATCATGTTTTACAAATCATAAAAGTCACATATATTTCAAGAGACTCAACATATTTCATTTTAAAGAGTCTCAATTACTCATTATAAGACTAAACCTTACATACCAAAAGTGACATCAAACATGCTTCTTACCTTTAACTCATGAAGTTAAATGCACAATTATCATATCAAGATGCACAATCAACATGAGAAAACCATGAAGTTAATCAAAAAAATTTCCTTCATGCTCTTTGGAATCTTCACAATATTTTAAGGTAATGTGAATCAATTCATACCAAACATATAAAGGTTATGAAATTCATACTTTATGCAAAACTTTTGTCATGAACAAGCTTACTAAGAATTCATTAGATTCAAGCTCAAGTAAGAATAGAAGGACAAGGTGGAAAATATCTACAACCGTAATACTCCATCACCATCCCCCACATAGGGTAGACCCAATTAAGAGCAACTTAACGCAACCTTAAGAGGATCTTAACTTAACACCCTTCATTTTCATCACCTAAAAATGATTACCACTTTAGAATGGATTACAGTAAGTTAATATAGGAACACCAGGGTATTCTTAACCTTGTCATTTTTGGCAAGTTATCCCCCGATTATCAAGTTAGGTGATATTATTTAACCAAATAATTTCTTCAACAATACAATAGACACCAATGTCATACATCATTAGGGGAAAACAACAAGGAGACTTATCCATAAGGACTCTTTCTTTTCTTTCAACATTAAAGTAAGGTAACTTCTAGGCCAATCAAACTTACATCATCACCCTGCAATGATAAGAATACTACACTCAATTCTAGGGGAAACATTAATGCCACAACATCAAGGGACTCACAAAATAATAAGAAGTTAGAAACAAATCTACGTCTTAGCTAGAACTTGCCCAGTTATACCTGCAAAGGGAATTTGTGTTAGAATACTAGGAAATAATCATAGGCCCTCGTTCGAATTAGCAAATATCTAGACTAAAATAAAGTTAATCAAACGAAAGCTTTTATCCCTTTTGATCCAAATCTATTGAGCCTATAATAGACCAATTTGTTTTCTTACCAACTCACATTCCTTGGGTTTAAATTTTTTGGCCCCGGTCCCTCCTTGGACATGTGCACCTTGAGTTAGGCCAAAAGCCTAAGTTGATCCTATTCTTACAATAATTAAATATCATTTTATTTTCCATCAATACTATTAAGGCACGTATACATCAGAAATGTACCTTTGAAATAATTGTCCATTCAAGTTCAGATAGCAAGCAGGATTTGGTTTAAAGCTTAGAGCATAAATGTACTACTTCATTGCCTGCTTCACCCACAACAATGTAATGCCTTGTGCCGCAGTCCATCTATGTGATTGTTTCTAAATGTAAGTCGTTGAGTCATAGTCCATTTGTGTCCCTGCATCTTAGTCCATCCGTGTCCTTGCATCTTAGTCCATCCGTGTGAATGTTGCTACACAACAGTATTTACACTGAAGCCAATGTAACTTGTCGTACTAACTATACTCTAGAATATGTCAATCAGTAAAACAATAATTTCAAAAATTGAGGATGGACACTGAAATTCCAATTTTCCACTCAACTTGTCTGTACCATGCTCAACACCAGTCGCCTTCATATATTTGACACTCCATTCCATATCTTCTTCAATCTCCCTTTCCCTTAACTACGTCAACTTGAACAGCTCGTTGACTGCCAGCTAGAGAAGGTACAGAAAATTGGTGCACAGTTTCCAACCGCGTTAGAAAAGTCAGACTTTTCCAACCAATGGCATGAGTTTAAGGAAAGGGACTTGTTTATACAATGTCATCTTTCTAAACATGGCTCTTTAGTTTTTACAACTTGAAAAATTACATTCAAGAACTCTTGCAAAGGCTAAAGAAAATCAAAGAGAAGAATCATTCAAGAACAACCTAAACTCAGGCGTATATTGTGTAGTTGTTTGAGAATATATTCTTTCGGTCTTACATTATAAACTGATCCTAAATCTATAAAGGAACCAGTGTGGTTTGTGTTGAAATTCTAAGTTGTCTAGAGTGATAGCTTAGTGGGTAGAATAACTTCTATTTAAGCTCATCAAGCAATAGAGTTATTGCTTGTTGGTGAGATTAACTTTTTTTTCTCATATTTGTGTAACCGGTTTTACTTTTGCTTGCGAAGATTAGTGAAACGGTTGTGAAAATCCTGTGAGACAGGTCGTGGTTTTACTCCCTTGAGCAAGGAGGTTTCCACGTAAAACTCCTCTGTTGTTAAACTGCATTTACTTTCTGTTATATATTTGTTTGTGTGTCAAGGGACCTGGTCCATTGACTGATAGTGAACGCACAGATTCTAACACTTTTTTTTCTCGAGAAAGTAGAATGTGCAAAGTCAGTTTTCAAACAGTATTTCAGTATCCACTATTCTGCCTTGATCTAAACAATCCAAAAGTATCTTCAATATGCTAATAAAGGATAGTCATGCATTTCTAATTCTTTGCATAAAATCGTGCCAAATCATTAGATACTCTCAAGAAAAACAAAAGGAGAAAGAAATTTCAGTAACAATTAAGAAGACTGTTGACATACTTCTATCGTGTCACCAACTGAAAAAGGTCGTGAAAGCTGTACGGAGAGCCCACTAAGAACATTGCCAAGGATGTCTCTAGTAGCAAAAGCAGTAGCCACCCCTGCGGTATTTATAAAAAAGGCAAAGAGTGAATAGGAACACAAACGAGGGATAATTAAAATAACTTTTATAATTTCCCAATCAATAATTGTCCACATTGCACCTTCATATAAACAATATACCAGCACAAACTAATATAATTTGTATCAGTATCATTGTTGACATGATTGCTATTTGCTGCATGTTACCAATTTTAAAAAAATGGTTGCTATTTGCATTAATGTTTTTTCTTTCTTTCTTTTTTGGACAAGTAGAAAACTGATAAGATTAACCAAAATGGGTAACCATGACTGGATGGGTCTGGTAAATATCTATGGCTCCACAAGGCCCTACAGAACCCAACATTAGCCTGAATAAAATTATTTCAAAATTTATGCACATTCACATGCCCGCCAATAAGCAAATCTGTCACTGTTGTATATCACTGGTTTGGTCCCATTCCTACGCTGGGAAGTCAAGATTCTCCAAGTTAATACGTCCTCAGTAGAATGTAAAAACAACATGATTAACAAGTGTTCTTATGTAGAATGATGGAGAAACTTTTCTCCACACAATGCTAGAGTATACGTCAAAAGATAACTCACAGCAGTTCCACACACAGAGGAAAAAAGTAAATTAATAAAAATGACAATAACTACTACAACCGGAGACACCAAAGGAAAAATGCTTGATTGTAAAACTTTAAGCACTAAAAAGGATAACAATGTTAAAGAACTTTGGACTACTATGAATAAAATGAGCGGAAAGGAAAATGAGGACAAGGAACAGTTAGACCTTCTATGGATTACACTATGGCGTTTGGTCTTGAAAATTTTGAGTATTTCAAAGTAGTTTTTGTTTACAATGTGAAAAATGATATTTGAAAAGTGGAGGAGTTGTGTTTAGCCATGAATACAAGTTGGAGTTGTTTTTGCATTTTTATTAATAATTTGGAGTAAAAAAACTGAAAAACTTTTTGGTGTTCTCCAAATTCCTGAATCCTGATTTTCCAAAAAATCTACGCTCAAACTTGTTTTTCGGAGTTCAACACCAAATCAAAGTAAAAATTATGCTAAACACCCTAAATTCAAAAGATGTGCAACAACAACAACATACCCAATGAAATCCCCCAAAAGTGAGGTGTGAGGAGGATAAAATGTACTTAGACCTTACCACTACCTCACAAAGGTAAAGAGGTTGATTTCGAAAGAACCTTGGCTCAAGTGCAACAAAACCCGGCACAAAAAAAAAAGAAGAAGAATCAAAACAAGGAACAGTGCAAAAGTAGCAAAAACAACAATAAATTTATGTAATAATCGAAGTACCATAAACAACATACTAGAATAGGTTATTATTAAAAAAAAATGATGAAAAAAAAGAATTACAATAATACAACTAATACCATCCCAAACACCAGTTACCCCAAGTAAGACAATAGGAAAGTCTTTTCTATCCTAATATGTGTCCTTCACACCTACCTATCTAGGGTCATGGTAACAGAACCAAATACAGCAACCGTCAAATTTGATAGTGATTATGTGTGTCTTCCGTCAAGCTAAAGAACTTACACTAGTAAGATTCCATGGTTAGACAGTACCTGAAAAAATCCATTTGCAATAAATGGGAGGTGTCATTCACCCATTCAGACTTGCGCGGATCATGTTTATGGGTTAATTTTTCCTCCCCTAGATTCAAATATTTATCAAACTAAGGTGACCTTTTGTTTGTAGGAACATTTCCAGCGAATAGATGATAGAACAAGGCAGGTGCAAACCAAGCTAAGAAATCTCACCTCCAACTCCACCAACGGTCAAAATAGATTGTACAGCTACTCCACAAACTTCAGCTAAAGTCATTAACCCAAGGATGTAGAGGCCAATGGAAGAGATTCTGTCCAAAGTCGACAACTGATCACGATCACCTACTTCAAGACCCTTGACATCCAAAGCTCTGCTGATCACATTTGTTTTCCATCGTTGTAGAAACCAGATAAATGAAAGAATAGAACCAGCTCTCCAAGTCGGGAGAAGGCATTGTGACGCAATAGTGCTTGGTGCCACCATCACAGCACTGCACATAGATATACTTCCAACTATAAAGACAAAACCGATAGAATATCAAACCAAAATAATATGGGATAAACAATGTAAGAAATATATTACTAACATTTGTGAAAATGCCATGAAAGTGATTAAATATCGAACCGGATCCTCCATAGCACCCCAAATACTTTTCTCATAAGAAAACTTCCCCCATATCGAGTTTCCATGCAGCAAAACAGCTGATCCTTGCATCGCATACTCATGAAATCTCCTCAAAAGTCTTGGAAGCACCACCCAAGCTATTAAGGTACCACCAACAGGAACAATTACATCTCTTAGATAAGGGTGTGCATCAAGCACATTTTCAACATAAGGAGTCATTTTCGAAGATGCCTCTTTCACTTTTCCCCCCGTAGAAGTCACAGCATCTACGGCAGTTCGCCAAGCTTCCTTAATATTTCCAACCCACTCACTTCCACTTACACCACCTGTATCCATAACAAACCCACTTGCACTTGCACCAGTTGAAACTTCTGAACCTTTAGGAGTATATCTGTTACTACTAACAGACGACGAATACCATTGATTATTCCAAATGGGGCTAGTCACAAAAATTGATTTACTTCCCCTCAAACTTTTATTATCAGTGAGATATGAGGTAACATGACTGGTCACACTAGCAGAGTGTATACCCCTTATTTTAAAACATTTTGGGGCAGCATAATTTTTTGAATATGTGGGTTCTCTAAATTGTAGATTACCATTAATGCAAGCATATGAAGGTCTGACATCAATCTGATTTGCTAATTCAAAAGAGGAATTAAGGGGTCTCTTCAAAGTTGAAAAGTTGATAGCAGCCATCAATGTGTAGATTTTGGACAAGAAATGTGTATCTCAAATGAAATTATGCTAACTTCAACCAACCAACAATGCTCATCTTCAATCTGCAACAAGTATTGAGCCAAAAGTTACAAATGGATAACAATAAATAAATCTTTAAAAAATTCAAAACAAATACTAAAAAGGATCACTTCTGCTTGTTTGGTGAAAGAGAATGAGAAAGTTAACTGAACATATATGCATTTTATATATGTAAACACTAGCAATGGTAAAGACTAAAAAGGCTTGACCCAGAATATATCACATTTCAAAATAGATCAGGCACACCTACTAACACACCATATCAGCATGATACCTATTACCTATTAAGTTTAGGACTGACCACCAACATGGGTTGTGGTGCACTGGTAGAAATGTTTCACCCTTGACCAGAACTCTCGGGTTCGAGCCTGGATATGGAGAAAATCCCGTTGGGACCGCCACCCTCGAATGGGCCCTGCAGTACGATTTGGATTTAGTCGGAACTCCAATATGGTGCTCCGAACACCGGGTGGGAAACCAAAAAAAAAACGATTAGGGCTGATCGGTTGGGAAAATTAATATGCCCTCAATTCGTGTGGTACCAATCAATTCAGGAGAACAATATCAAGATAAAGCCAACATATGCTATCAACAAAGTCAGTTTTTAAATAGAATTAAGGCAAGCTTGCCCCATCTGCAAGAAGGGGCGGAGGCAGTGTATAACGGCGAAAAAATATTACTATTTATACATGGTTAAAAATTACTTAGGTATATATAATAGGTGTTGAATCCACTCCCATGTTTACTTCTCAAATTTTGAACCCCTCATTAAAAATTTTCGCTCCGCCACCATTAGTGCAAGGTGCATTTCATTTCACTCACCTCATCATTTTAAGTAATACATCAATTCTGGTTACGGTTTAACATGGTCAGAATTTATATGTTATTGGTGTATATACCACAAAATTTCAGAAAAACTCACCAGGAATTATGAAATATAGCATGCAATAGAGACACTTGGAACTCAAATTGAAAAGTTTGAACAAAATAAAAAATGAAAAACATCAACTAAAGATGCATCAATACACCAAACAAGATGAGAAACAAATTTCAAAGTGAACTCACCATAAAGAGCACAAATTCACCATTAAAGGAATTGTAGAAGCAGAGAAGTTAGAGCGCGAAGTAAACAGAAGGTGCCTTTGTAAATATTGTTAAATTAGATATTAAAACATATATACATTTCTGGAAAACAAGTTAACAGCCTAAAAGCTGATCAAACTGATTTAAAAGCTGGTTTTTGACTTATTTAGCTGTTTGGCAATACTCAAAACAGTTTATTTTAAGTTAAAAAAACTTATTTTTAGCCAAAAGTTAAAAGTTGGGGCAGGGATGCTTTTTTTTTTTAGCTTATAAGCTGTTTTAAGTTGACCACATTTTTATCTTTTTGTGCTTAATATTTTTATACAATCTTCAAATTACCCATATAACCCTAACATTTCTTTCTTCCATTTTTCCCTTTTCACGTTTGACATAACAACTTCAGCACTTTTATCCAAACGCATAACTGCTTATTTTAAAAATAAGTTTCAGCACTTTTAAAAGTATTTTTTTAAAGCTATTTTTATTTAGTCCATCCAAACGGGCCCTAAGTTGTTATTTCCTTTTATTTTAATAGTATAAACATAAATATATGTAACTAATATTGTAAAAAAAAAAGGACACGTTTTTCATATTAATAATATTTTAAATTAATTAGTTATAAAAAATAAAATACACATATTGTAAGAAGATTGTGGACTACATATTCAATTAAAAAAATATCAATTCTTATTAAAAAATGGCTGGCATGCAATATATGAAAACCTTAAGCCCGCCTACCTAGCGCCACCAGAAATTAGGATTCTCTTTTAATTTATTTTATTATTAAAATTAGTCTTTTACTTTCGTGAAAAATTGTGACTCTTATAAAAAGTCATGTCTTTAACGAAGAGGTGTGACTTTGATGAAAAGGCGTGACTTTAATGAAAAGTTGTGACTCTTAGAAAAAGTTGTAAGTTTAATGAAGAATTGCGACTACTATGAAAAGTTGTGACTTATATGAAAAATTGTGATTTTGATGAAAAGGTGCGACTTTTATGAAAAGTTGTAATTTTTATGAAAGGTTGTGACCTTTTTTACGGGTTATAACCTTTCTGATGAAGCACAATAAACATTTTTTTACACTACCCTTTGTTGTCTATAAATAGAGGGATTTTCTCTCATTATAAAACTACAAAAATTCTAAACCTCTTAGTCTTTCTTCTCTATCTCCTCTTCCTCATTCACAATTAAATGTTTGTGTACTTTGCTCCTGTTGAATGTCTCACTAAGACAATTGCTTATGTTACAAATCTTGGTATGTCTTTTAACAATCATTAATTTATGCTTATCTTATTAAGGATAAGTGATAAGATGTAATAATTTTCATTTTTCTTTACATTATTAATGTTTGTTATTACGTAATCTTGCATGTAAGATAATATAGTGTTTTAGTGATAATTCTGAATATACTTTAAGTTATAATTTATAAATTTTGTGATATTTAATTCCCACGCGAAGTGCGTGTAATTTTACTAGTAAGCTAATAATGCTAAAGTAAATAAATTGGATAAAAATATCATATAAATTCAAAAAAGAAATAATACTTTCGGATAAAATTCCAACATAACATAAATATAAATAAACTTAAAATGTTAAAAAAAAATAGTTTTAGATCAAATTCCAACCTAACATAAAATAAGTTCCAACAAAATTTAAATTACACATAATTCAAGTGAAAAGGAACATAATCTATAAGTTCATTCAACAATAAAATTCTACTTACATAAAAAAGAATAGAATAAAATAATGCAATTATGTTAAATTAAGCCATAATACCTAGAGCTTTGTCATCTCATGTTACTTTCAAGATGTACTCAATTTCATTGTCAATCACAATCACACAGAGGTAAAGCTTTGTTGTTGAGTTAATAGTGGTCCTTTTTCATGATAACTCTATTTATGGACAATAATAAGATATCGAGTGATCATATTAGATTTTTATAAAATGATAAAATTTTCTTTTTAGGCTCTCTCTTGTGCCTCCAATTTAATCATTCATATAGATGTTCAAGATATGCTTCTTTTGAACCCTCTCTTTCGTCATAACATAGAAGTATCTAATATTAATGTCACGCTCCTAACTAAAAAGGTGTGGACATCGAGAATTTATACAAGCACACTCTAATTATATAGACTCTAAATATATTATAGCTCCACACTACAAGAAAAGAATATTTTTGTAGTGACGAAATCGTCACAAGAAGTCAAAATATCACCATGAATAACCTGTTGTGGTGACTCATGGGTCGTTGGGTAAACTAAGTGGTTGATACTTTTCTGTGGCAACAACACTAGTCACCACTAAAGGTTTAGTTTTTGTGGCGGCTAACGCTGCCACAAAATATATAAAAATTGTCACAAAAATTATTCACCCTTAGTAACTTGAACTTACAACCTTTAAGGTTAGAAGTGAGGGGTGTTTACCATCTAAGCAACTTAATCTCTTGTTTGCAATTATTTGTTTTATTTTTAACTTCACTTTTTTCATATTTAACTTCTATAGAAATAATATGTTATATTGTCATTTATGCACTACACAAATGCAGGAAATTTACTATTCACATTTCATTAAATATAAATTAGATTTGATGTTTGTTAATAATTGTCAAGAGTTTGCACAAAAAAATTCTCAATATATTTGTCGTATACGTTGTGGTACTTGACATGAGGTCAAAAATATATATTTTAATTATTATTTATCTCATGTTCAAAATGTTAATATGTTTTTCTTGCACACTCAGAACTTAAGCAATGAATTGAATGCAAAGGTTGCTGAGTTTGATGTTCAACAATCCAATTATGAGTTTTGTGATACTGAAAAGACGCTCAGAAGTCAAATTGAGGATCTAAAATGGAAAGAGATACAATGCAATCAGACTTTTCACGAAGATGCAACATTTGAAAAGAGTATAAGACTGAGCATGTTGCAATTGGTGTAAGTTTTGACGAGGGACGTATTGAACCCCATTCAAATCACTTTTCATCATTATGTTTAGAGTTAATGTACCATTCGAGTCATCTAAACTAATGGAGAACTGAATAAATAATGAACAAGGTCCCTACATCCGAAGGTTTTCTAGTCTACGTAGACAAACAAACATTCCTAAACATAAGGGTCAAGAAGTGCAAGATGCGACATATATTATTTGGTTCTTTTATCGTTATACCACTAGTTACCCTTGAAAGGAGTAGAAAAATAGAGCGGTACAATTCATAAGTTTAAAGTGGAAAGAAAAATGGTGAACTTACTTGTGTCGTGTCGTGACGTTAAATTAGACGCTTATTGGGAGGTAACCCAATTTATAGTGTAAATTCTTATTGATGCATCCAATTGCACATGCAAATGTTTGTGGTCGCAGGTAATATAGTGACTCTAAAAGAACCGGATTATCAAACCCAAAAGACTTGTCAACTAACTCTTTACTAAATTATATTAATTCTAATTATTTATTTAAGGGAGAATTTCAAAAGATGAATACATAAACTAAAATAAAATACTAAAAATCAATTAACAAGAAAAGATAGATATTCACACGATCAATAAATAAATCGATCTAGGATTATGATTTAATTAATAATCATCCTTAGCATCAATTTCATCAACTTATTTGATTATCTAGTTATTGATTCACGGGGTTGATAATATAGTCATGGTCTCCCGACCTCTAACCATCTACCACAATTGACTTTTCGTATTTGAGTCAAGCAAGCAGGTGCCTAGGTATATCCCAATCCTAGACACAAATCAATTCAAGTGACATGCAAGAAAAGATCACGTTCCTTATATTCCACGTTCTATCCCTCTATTTTTCTCCCGAAATTAAAAGTGGACAATATATTTTTTCTAATGGTGATCAAGCATCAAAATAGTAATCACAAGAATATAAGAACAATTAATATGATAAACAAATCATGTCGAATCAAAATTACTAAACAATCATATTGTAATAAAATATAATCCAACGAACGAGAAATTCAACTCCATATAAAAATAGAGCAATTACAACGAATCACTCAAAAAAAGATGTAAAATAAAATAAAAGAGAAAGAATAACATATTAAATCAAGTTATTTTCTACATCATATCCTCCTTCTCTCAATAATTATTCTTATGAATTATTTATAGATATAGGAAATTTCAAATAAAATTGAATCCGAAATAAATTAGAAATCCAAAACCTAAAAGAATCCCGCGTGAAACTTTCGCCTCGAACGCCCAGAACTGGACTTCTTGAAATGCTACCACGTGGCACAACTCTAAGTGACACTTTTCTTCAATTTCGGCCAACTTTTCATATATATAAGTATTAATATAGTATTTTATTTAATTTATTAAGTTGTATGCTTGATTTTCTTAGTTGAAAATCTTTTATTTTTATTTTTTTAATTTTAAACTTTTTTATTTTTTCAACAATTTAACTCTTTAAGTAAATACTATTTAGCACAATTCATAAATAAGTTATTTTTATATTTTTATTTTAATATTTTGTGCTTGATTATTATGAGATAAATCTATTGTTTAATCTTAAAATCAAGAGAGAAGGAGCTAGATAGATCAAAAAATATAGAGAACTTGATCGATTCATTAAGTTTAGGTGATTTTTGTGTTCAGGAGTGACGCTCGGATGAATAACTTGTTTGGTTACAATACAAGATGAAATATAAATGCTCGCCAGTTAGGCTTGTTTATCCTCATTCAACGATGTAGTTAGACAACTAGCTGGAGTAGATGACTAGATGTCGAGACACCCGACTCATACAATTGACCCTGTAAAGTAGTAACTTGACAACTAAAAATAATTCGAAGTCAAAAATATAATATATGAAATCCATTGCATGTTGCAACCCTAGAATCTTTTAACTATTGTTATAAGTAATCTTATTATTTTATTCTTATATTCTTTTCTTTTGACACTCTTAAATAAATAATTAGATTAGTATAATTTAGTAAAAAATAGTTAATTGACAAGTCCTTTAAGTTCGATAATCTGATTCTTTTTAAAATCACTATATTACCTGCGCGATTACGTACACTTGCGTGTGCAGTTGAAAGCAACAGTATTGAAATTACTAAATAGTTGAAAGACGATTTCTTTATATATATATATATATATATATATATATTCATATTTTTCCTAAGTAATATTTTACATGATGA